TGTGTGTGTGTGTGTGTGTGTGTGTGTGTGTGTGTGTGTGTAGGTGTGAGTGTGTGTGTCCATGCATGTGAATTTTTGTGGAAGCTCAGCATGGGATTCTTTGAAGTCTTGTTAAAGCTCTTTAATGAGGCTGGATGATATGAGTGGCAATTATGGTCGTCCTCTTACACTCATTTGCATATAGAGATGTACAAACACAATGAGATCAGAGAGATTCTGAACATTGAACATTTGTGAACTGAACATTTTATTTTCCTATTATATTTTTACAGTTGTTATCTTTCATGGTCACACACTCTTCATTGTGCCGGTGTTTATCTTTGGTAATCGGGTCGTTGCGGCTCAGTGGCTGGTGTAATGTGCTGGTAATCTGCAGGTTGTGAGTTTGTGTTCCAGAAAATTCTGTGCTGCCCTTGAGAAAACCACTTAACTCAATTCACAGCCCAGCTGTTGCTATCAGATAGATGTTACACACATGTTTGCTTAATCAAACCATGGTCATGCAAATTGGAATATGCATGGTAAGTGTTAAATGTTTTATCTTTATATTGCAGATAAATATCTGGGGAACAGGTTGCTAAGTTACGGACGGACCCTTAGCCTGTCATTTACGGCTGAGCTGGAGGAGCTCTTGCCCAGAAGTGTGACCGTGACGCTGGAGGGCTTCGGAATATTGGTTACTGCTGATTTGTACTCTCAACAGAAGACTTATTCCTCATTGGAGAAGACACCCATCAACACTTTCACTCTAAGGTGTGTGTGTGTGTGTGTGAGTGAGTGTGTTATTCCCAACTATTTGCTAACATGTGGGCAGATATTGAATGCATTTCTAAAATATGGGGTAACACTTCAGATTAGGGAACACATATTCACTATTAACTAAGAGTTTTCCCTCAATAAACTCCAAATTTGCTGCTTATTAATAGTTTATAACTTAGTTGTTAAGTTTAGGTTTGGGGTCGGGTTAAAGGATCTAAAACATGGTCATGCAGAATAAGACATTAATATGTGTCTAATAAGTACTAATAAACAGCCAATATGCTAGTAATCTGCATTCTAATAAGCAACTAGTTAGTAGTGAGAATTGGACCTTAAAGTGTTACCAAATATGGCACATGGGTTAAAAGGGATTCAAAGATTAGATTTGGCTTGAACATTTCAAATTGAAACTACATGGTAGTCTGGCATGCATTTATCTTAAATTTCACGGTGCTTATGTAAATCGACAGGAATCGTTTAATCAGATCACTTCTCTGCCTTTGATCATGTACTATACGACAACTGATTGTATAATGAGAGGCAACGGGTAATTTTGGCCTCTGTACTCCATATAAATATGTTGCAGATATAGTAAGAGTAGTGTACTATACCAAATTTAGCCAAGGTTTTAAGTAGGTGTTTAAAGCAATGTAATTGAAAGGGCAAAGACAATGTGCTTATTTGATTTGCCTCTAATTATGCCTCATTGTGTGCTGTTAGCAATGATCTGATCACTTTATGTGTGAATAATTAAGCCAAACAATCTTCCCACATAATTATATTTTGTGATTTTACGTTTTCATTGCTCTCTGGAATCCTTTATCCTGCTTTTAAGAGTGGATGCAGGTATTTTCCTTCACCAATTTTGTCACATAGCATAGCCTTCTGTAAATCTTTTTATGCAAAAGTAAAGCTGTGAAAAGAGAAATTAGACTTCTCTAGTGCAATTCGTCACTATACTTTTTCTTACTTTCATCCTTATTCTAGTTGGTACTCCGAACACTCTTAAAATTTTGTATTGACGTATTTCTTATGTTACTGCCTCTTTAGGATGAATCACTTTGCTGTATTCCTTATTTGTAATAAATTAATGTAAATATAATTGTACAAATCAAAAGGCATGTAACATTTCACACAAATCAGAGGACAACCAAAAAAACACAATGGCTTGCCAGAAACCACTGACTCTGGTAAACCACAAAATAGAATATAAAATAAACATAATGTTCTTTAGGAACATTTGCAGACAGGTTCACATCATGTTAAAATTCAATAATAATACTGTTGTTCATGTTACTAATGAGCATGTTCATTGCATTTCAACATGAATCTAGAACCTGTGATGGGTGAAAAGATGCCAGATTTATCACAGGATTGAGCTTTCTGCTTAAAAATATATTGTAGTTGTTCTCATGAAAGTGCTAGAGTTATAATTTCTTCGTGCAGTACTGCTAAAAGCTGGTTATTACAGTAATTAATACACCATTTTAACCTGTCTTTAGCACTGACAACTTAAAAAAAAAAAAACATCTTAAAGGGTTAGCTCTTACACTCACTTGCATATAGAGATGTACAAACACAATGAGATCAGAGAGATTCTGAATATTGAACATTTTTGAACTGAACATTTTGTTTTCCTATTATATTTTTACAGTTGTTATCTTTCATGGTCACACACTCTTCATTGTGCCGGTGTTTATCTTTGGTAATCGGGTCGTTGCGGCTCAGTGGCTGGTTTTGTTGGAAGGTATTTCAGTTTCTATGGCAGACTGAAACATTTGCCCACTGAGACCCACGTGGCTTATTATCAAGTATTTATTCACCCTCATGTCGTTCCAAACCCGTAAGACTTTCGTTCATCTTCTGAACTCAAATTAAGATATTTTTGATGAAATCCGAGAGCTTTCTGACCCTGCATAGACAGCAATGGAACTGAAACATTTTATAGCTCAGAAAGTTAGTAAGGACATAGTTAAAATAATCCATGTGACATCAGTGCTTCAACCGTAAGTTTACGAAGCTACGAGAATACTTTTTGTGCACAAAGAAAACAAAAATAACTTCATTCAACAATTTCTTCTTTTCCGTGTCAGTCTTCACCATGCGTTCAGGAGAGTACGGTACCACGTCACGTGTGTGGTGCTGCCGACGCAGGAGCCAGCATTCTGACGAAGAACCCTGATGCGCTTCAGCTTGTTTGCAAGCAGTAGAAGACGCATTCTGTACATAAAACAGTCTTCGTAAACATGTCTGAAGATTTCAACAGAGAGGATGACTTGCAATTTGATTTGAACCAGAATATACAGACGATGAACTAAGAGAGATGGACATTCTACGCCAGAACACCGGCTCCTATGTCAGCAGCATCACACGCATACGTTGCGGTACTCTCCTGAACACATGTCGAAGACTGACACAGAGAGAAGAAATTGTTGAATAAAGTCGTTATTTTTGTTTTCTTTGCACACAAAACGTATTCTCGTAGCTTCATAAAATTAAGGTTGATGTCACATGGACTATTTTAATGATGTCCATGAGGGTGAGTAATTAATGACAGAATTTTCATTTTTGGGTGAACTATCCCTTTAATACCAGGTGGAAACAGAGCTATGTTGTAGGGGAAAATTGAGTAGTAGTGATTTGCTTAAAATAAGTTTTCTTTTGTTTTTGTTGTGTGTGTGTGTGTACTGGTATATATGGTTTATGAGGACACAAATGTGTATTATCTATTCATGAACAGCTTGTAACACTCCAAAGAGAAAGGAAAACTTGAAAACGCATCATATGACCCCTTTAATTCTGGAAAATGAATGAAAATTAGGTAGCTTACCTAGTAAAAAAGTAATATATTTAAAATACAGTACATTTATTTTACATTTCTTAATATTAAGCCTAAAATGTGTTTTAATGACTCTATTGATAAAATATTGACACTATTGATGAGGATTGTATGATCTTTGAATAATATCGGTATTTAAATGCAAGATATTTAAAGTGTACCTAAAGTATACTTGCAATAGTTCCACTTTAGCACAATCAGATATACTTAAGTATATCTTTAGTTGGACTTCAGCACTACTTCCGCACAATTAAAGTGCATTAAGTGTAAATTTAGTTGTTCCAAAATTTACCAGTTTAGTATACCAAAAGTACAATTGCAGGGTATTTACTATTTATTACTACACCATTAATTACTACACCATTTTCACATGTATTTAGCCCTGACCATTTAAAAAAAAGAAAAGAAAAAAAGGCATCTTAACATCAGGTGGAAACAGGGTTATGTTATAGGGAAATGTTTTTGTGAGTTTCTTAAAATAAGTTTTCTTTTGTGTTTTCGTTGGAAGGTGTTTCAGTTTCCATGGCAAACTGAAACATTTGCCCACTGAGACCACGTGACTTATTATCAAGTATTTTTTATATAATTATAAATGTGTGAACAACATGAATAAACATCAGTACCTCTTGTCAGCATATGGAAATTTTACTTAGCAGTGTTTTCTGCTAACCTGAAGATTTTTCTTTTCATAGATGCTTTTTACATTTGCATTTGTTGTGCGTCTTCATTCAGGGGATAGTAAGGAGCTGTAGAAAAAAGAGAAAATGGCTATAAGAGGAGACTAAACTCTGTACGTCCCTGCCGAGCCGCACTTACACATACATGCAGCATAGCGTTTGAGACAAACAGTGTGATTCTACGGGGGAGCATTACTGTGAATATATCTTCTCTCTCACACACTCATGTACACGTGATAATCAGTTTGTCTGTATATGACTGCACACACACAAATGCCGGTGTCTCTCAAAAGTGCACATAAACATTAGTCTTCATGGCCATGTCCTGATATGACAGTTGGGAAGTTGAGACAATAGGTCACAGAGACCCTGGAGAAAGATAGTGATGAGGTGAGAGAGAAATTTGATCTGTGTACAGTCCCCCTCTATCACTATTTATGAGGCGGTATGGATCCCTGAGAGAAACAAAGACCCACTCACCACCTTCACCATGTTCCACCTCTCCCCACTCAGCCCTTATTGATTAATTCATTCCTTGTTCATTTATTCATATGGTGATCAAAGATTCTATCGGCTTGCACCCAGTGGTCCTGATGTCTGTCTGTGTGTAAGCAAAGGTGAGAGAGAGGCAGAGGGGAGGCAGGCAGGCAGGCTAGCTAAGCTACATCGTGAGGGCAATTATAAGTGGACGGGACACAGTGATTTCACATTCAGTGTAGATTCATGGTGGAATGCTCTTTACAAAGAATCCCTCTTTGCCTTAAAAAAAAAACTCTTAAAAAACTTGTTTTTCTGTCACACAGTGTCTTACATATCTTTACTGTTATGGCATTTATTTGCACCCCAAAGATTAGAAGCTTTGTTTATTTGTTTATTTGTTTATTTATTCATTTATTTATTTGTTTGTTTGTTTGCACTACTGTTCAACAGTTTAGGGTTGGTAAGGGTTTTTTTTTGTTTGTTTGTTTTTTTTGCTTTTTTAAAATGACTCAACAATACCACAAAACAGTAATATTGTAAAATATTATTACAGTTTAAAATAACTTTTTACTATTGTAATATATGTAAACATGTAATTTATTCCTGTGAAGGTGAAGCTGAATTTTCAGCAGCCATTACTCCAGTCTTCTGTTTCACATGATCCTTCAGAAATTATTCTAATATTGTAATTCAAATTATTCTAATATCTAATGTGCTCAAGAAACTTTTTTTTTTAATTATAATAATTATTATTATTATCAATGTTGAAAATGGTTGTGCTGCTTAATATTTCTGTGAAAACTGTGAAACATTTTTAAGGATTCTTTGAATGAATAGAAAGTTCTAAATAAAAGCTTTTATTTGAAATAGAATTTGTAATATATATCTTTACTGTCACTTTTATCAATTTAATGTGTTTTTGCTGAATAAATGATTAATATTTCTGTGAAAACTGTGAAACATTTTTAAGGATTCTTTGAATGAATAGAAAGTTCTAAATAAAAGCTTTTATTTGAAATAGATTTTGTAATATATATCTTTACTGTCACTTTTATCAATTTAATGTGTTTTTGCTGAATAAATGACTTAACTTCTTGAAGAAAAAAAATCGTACTGGTCTCAAGCTTTTAAACTGTAGTGTATTTATGTATTTATTGTATAATTTATACGTATGTTGTACAATTATTGTAAGTGATTTTTTTTTCTTGTTTACAGACACCTCTCAACTCTCCAGGGTAAGCCTTGAATCTGCAGTCCAGAAAAACGACAATATGGCCCCACATGCTTCATGGGTGGAGGAGTGTACTTGTCCCACAGGATTCACTGGGCAGTTCTGTGAACGCTGTGCTCCTGGATTCACCAGGGAAACCCCTAATGGTGGAACCTTCTCCCCTTGTGTACCTTGCAACTGCAATCAACATGGAACCTGCCATGCTGAGACAGGTTGGGAGTGTGTTTGTTTGTTAGCATGCAGTCTGTACACAACATTCATGCAGGGTGTCATCCAATGATACAACATATACTGTTTCCCCACCATAGTAATGTTTCTTGGTTTCACCTGTAGACAGATATTTTCCGTATAGATACACTCATCTTCAAAAATTTGGAAACACTAATACATTGTTGTTGTTTTTAGGAGAAAATGACACTTATTCACTAAGGATTCAATTCATCCATGCATTTCTAATCATTTATCATGCAAGTGTCAGATGTGGCTTTTTCTTTGAGCTCTTTCTAAAGGCCAGCAGCGTCTCGGCATCTTTTCTTGACTGCTGCAGACAAAGCTGGTGTTTAGCATGTGCTGTTCAATGAAGCTTCCAGCTAAGCATCAGTGAGGGGTCTCTTTCTCAAACTACAGACTCTTATGTATTCCTCATTTTGTAGTGAATCTGGGCTGTGCACTTCAATCCCCTGTGCTGGTTAGATCCTGTTTGCTTTGTTCTTTTGTTCCTGTGTACAGAATAGCCTTCATCTCTCAAAAGAACAATAGAATGACTAGAAAAGTGTGTTTGTGTTGGGCCATTTATAAAACCAAAATGTCAAAAGTAACATTGTACAGTGACTAGCAAGAAATGCAAGTATATGCACTACTTTATAGGGATGTAACGATTACCGGTTTGACGATAAATCATGATAAAATTCCCCACGGTTAGTATTACCGTTTCATCTTTTAATTATCATTAAAACCGTATTAGATAACCGCGATTTGAACAACTCGCGATAAATAAGTACTGTCCAGCATAAAGCACAGTTTTAAGTAACAGTCTCAAGTTTCGTTTTGAGTGAAAACAGGGCGGCAAAGCTGGGAGGTTTTAAAAGAGTGCTAAGGGAATTATACAAATGAATATATGAATTAATTAATTATATGAATGTACCTCTGAAGGTTCTGACTGTCTTCAGAAAAGAATCGATGGCATTTTGTTTTCATCTTCGCTCCATGTAATACCTAAAGGAAGTGTTCTTAATCGCAATACTGCTTTGTCCACGGAGTTTACGGGAAACAGCTTTTCCATAAGCGCCACCTGCTGTCAGAGAGTGGATTTACAGAGACTTATATTTACATTCAGTCTGTGTGCAGTTTCTGTCTGGCCCAAAAACGGACCGAATTTGTATGCCCTGCTGTAAATTTTGACCGGTTTATGAAAAACAAGCTTATGTGGATTCTACACATTTAAACAATTCAGTTTAACAATTCACAATAAGTTATCTAGAATTCTTTATGGAACAGATAAAATACATATAATCATTTATTAATCAATAATCATTTTGACTTCTATCTTTTCTTTATTTAAAGGCTGAAATGTGAGGTTTACCTTTTTATTAAACTTTATCAAAGCTTTATTTGAATATTCAGAGCTTTATTTGATATTTCAACATGTTATTAAACTGTTATCAGTCAAGTTGTCATTTAAAATCCGAACATCATTAGTAATGTTATTGTTTTAGTGATTATGCAAACAAAAAGTCATTTTATTTGTTGTTTGATGATTTTTAAATATAAAACTTGGTTAAGTGATTTATGTCTGTACTTTTTTAACATCTCCAGCACATTTTAACAATACCGTGATAATACTGATAACCGTGATAATGTTGGTCACTATAATCGTGATAAGAAATTTTCATACCGTTACGTCCCTACTACTTTAACAACTGAAAGAAGACTCGGTACTGCACAGTTCATTTCCACAGTTCATTAAGCAACACAACCATTTTCAACTGTGCTAATAATAAGAAAAGTCTCTTTAATACAAATCAGCTCATTAAATGGATTTCTTAAGGATCGTATAGCACAAGGTTTTCTTCGTAGACTGGAGTAATGGCTGCTGAAAATGGGGCGTTGCAATCATAGCTTTTGTATATATATATATATATATATATATATATACAGTATATGGTATGGTATAGTATAATATATATATATATATATATATCAGCATTTATTTGAAATATATTTTCTTTGTAACATTATAAATGTCTTTCACTTTTGATCAATTTAATGCATCCTTGCTAAATAAATAAGGCATTCTTTTTTTAATCTTACTGACCTCAAGATTTGAAGTGTATACACATGAAACAGACTACAATTGGCCTCAGCAATCTGCTCTGAGACACAGAGGTGACTCACAGTGTATATTTAATCCTTCAAATATTTGATTACGCATTGTGTCATGTATGCTTGGACAGATAAAGACTGTAGCTCGATTATGCAATAACCTGCTCTAGCTCAATTATAGCTGTGAATGTAAATGTACTTACACAGAGATGTACTGCACATAGGATAAATTTACAGAGGATGAATTTTTTATTAAAAATAGCTGGAGAGACATACTGTAATTGAACAGAAGGTGTTTTTATAGGCGCATTAATGCCCATACACCAGAGATAATGTGCAAACTGAATACATTTAAGATGTATATGCCACCCCAGAATAATGCTGGGAACCACTCGTTATAAATCTCCTAACTGTGATATTTTCAGAAATAGAAGTCGCGTTTTTTTCTTCTGAAACGTGCTGCGATTTATATTCCAAAACCACTCATATAATGCAGAAACACTCAAGCAAGCAAAACACGCGCAACACCTGCACGTATTTGTACTGATGTAGAATAGTATAGCCTAGCGCATTTCACAAAGGCTGCTAGATTCACTTTCGCCAGAAAGTCGTATGCCCGCTGCGCACTCAATCCACTCAGCGTACTTTGTTTATCAGCTTGCGCACATCAGCTATACAGACGTTAATACTGAAAGTTTAACATTATATTCATTGCATACATATACTTCGTAGACATCCTTAATCTCTTATAACTCCATTCTGCTGTCTGTTGTTCTGTTGTTGGTGTTTCTTTATTTGAATATGGCGCTTATCACATGCTGTGTGGTATCGGCGTTTGGTATCGGGGCATTTTAACGAGTACGAGTACGAGTACAGGAGACCAGTATCGGGTCCGATACCAATACCAGTATCGGTATCGGTGCATCCCTAGTTATTTTATATGCTATTTGTGCAGCAGCAGTATGTCTTAAATACTCACGGCACCGTATCGCCGTATGCATTGGCAGTAGCAAGTTCCTGTACTTGCTTGCAGCAGCAGCAATAATCTACAACTACAGCAATAACCAACAGCAGCAGCAATTCAGCAGCAGCGTAGCAGATCTATTCCGCCAAGACCAAATACATTAACATTGTCATATCCATCACCATGCTAAAATCTCCCGAGAGTTGTCATGATTGAACTTACATTTATTTTAAACGGTAATAATTTTAAACTGTATAAAGTTTTTGAATGTATTTTTACTAATTAAGTGCTACATCGGTGAACAGAATGATGAATTTCCTTCAACCAATGTCTTTAGTGTTTTTCTACATTTTAAATAGTGTTGTAGTAGTAGACCTACAAGTACAGTTCCTATTTCTTCTAGTTCAAAAAGCCCAGAACTTCTATTCCTACAGCCACTATATTGACTGCTGCAATTTCTCCATTTATCTGCAAGTGGGCTGCTTTTACTGTCACTGACTGTAGGCTTCCAAATACATTTTTATACCTCCAGCTCACTCAAATGTTCCTCTCACAATCCTCTTCTTGTTCCTGTCATTTTCTGTACTGCTTCCCTTGTTCCTCTCTCACTTTTTCATTCCTCCTCTTGTGCTTTCCGTGACCCCATTAACAGCTAGAATGGCGGGCCGTCTTTCTGTACAGGGTAGATAGAGTTCACTCTCTCTCCTCTCTCCTCTATTAGACCCGCGAGCCAGCCACCGGCTAATTAATTGTAATGTCGATTGCACAACAAAGAGTGTTTGTTTGTGTGCGTCTCCTTTCAGCGACGACTCCTGGCATGGATTTGAGCATTTGTTCTCCCATCTTTCTCTGTCTCGCCCACTTTGACTGTCTCTCTTTCACACTGATGAGTAATTTCACTCTTTTAATATGCGGCAAATTAAACCTCCATCGTTCTTATTATGAGCGTAATGTGTGATTAGTTTGGTTCAAGTCTTTAACATTGCAAATTAATGTCAGACATGACTTTATCTACCACTCGGGGTAGGCGAAAGGACAGATGAGAGCAAGTGATATGCATGTATGCGAGAAAAAGGGAGGGAATGGAAGGAAGAAGGAAAGAGGGAATCAAAGCAAAAGGAGCTCAAGGGGGGTGAAAGATCAAACGAATGTATGCACAGGAAATCTCCACCTCCCAGGAGAAAAGGAGGAGCCCGTTCCTTTTATTTATTTATGAACCTGTTTAACTTCAAAGCAGATTTCGCCTAAGTCACAGCGGGCGCTGTTCATTGCCATTTAACTGCTTAAATATTTTCCAGGTTTGTAAATAGAACGAGGCCCGCAAGGTCCCTGCTGTAAACCAGCACGCTTATCATTAGCATATGCATACGTCACTCTTCATTTTTCTCAGCACCAAAAACCAAATTGTGTTTTAATCTCGTTTCGTATCCGTAAGCCTAATTATGTTTTGTTATTCCTTTGATGAGCATTAATTCAGCCTCATTTCTGCATCAGGAAGGGATTGTGCACTGACAGGCCACGCCCCTATTATTTTTTCGAAAGAGAGGGTGTTCCTCAAGGTAATGTAATATGGTTGTAATTGGCTGTTAATTGGTTATTAGTCTTGTCACTCAGCACAGGTGTTGTTTGTTTGGGTGGAGATAAGAGAGGAGGGAAGCTCACCTCTCCGGGCTGGATCCAGTGGTGCTTCGTAATTGTGATTTATTTCAAGTCTGCCCGTTTGTGTCATTTCTATTTTCCTGCGAGCAATTCAACAGATTGGAAAATGTTAATATTTGCAACGGAAAAATGGGATGGTGGTACAGTGTTGTGCTGGAGGGCTAATGAAGTCAAGCATATGTCCTTCGGATGCAAATATATTTTGTGTGTGTGTGTGTGTGTGTGTGTGTGTGTGTGTGTGTGTGTGTGCGTGTGCGTGTGCGTGTGC